GCATTTTTTCTTAAAATAAATGTAGTTTTATCACTCATGGTAGGTGGTTTCGAAAGCGGTTCATCTTTTGTGGTTTTTTTGGTATTGCTGGCAAGTCAACACCAAACAATATGCAACATGGGCTGGCGATGGGAGGGAGAATGTGGCGGCCGCTACTCGCATAAAGTGCCTCCCTCAACCACCGATTTCCCTCCCCATCGCACCACTAAATCTCTTGGCATAATTGAAGGAGCTTCGAAAGTATTTAACTTGTTCAATGAATCATGTCGCGGAGTCGTGTGAGAGATTTTGATACAAGGCGCTGGATCAAATTTCAAGGGTCGTTGCAATGTGGGGAATAACATTTTTTTAGAGGGTGGGGCGGGGCGCGGCGGGGGGGGGTGTTGATGGATGGATAGGGAGGGAAATAATAATAATAATAATAATAATCCTTGCATTTGATGTAGCGCCTTATCGCATCCTCGAGACGTCTCAAAGCGCTTCACAGACTGTGCTGTGAACCGAATCGACCGTATGTTTCGTGGCGGAAGTGTATACTGAATGGCGAGTCGGGGGGGGGTATCAATTCAAGACCGTTAGCAAAGGGGAGTTCAGGAGGATTTTTTTTCACCAAAGAGAGTTGTTAGGGTGCGGACTGCTCTGCAAGGCAGGGCATGGCGGGATCCATATTGGCTTTCAAGAGGGAACTGGATAGATACCTGAGAAGGAATCCCGTGCCTTGCAGAGGTATTGAAAAGGCAGGTAAGTGGGGAGCGGTGGGTGGGGGGGGGGGGGGATTGGTTGCTCTTTGAAAGAGCTCGTGCAGACAGACACAAGATTAGTTTGAATATAAATGATGTGCCAGTTTCCGCACACAGAAGTGATCTGCGAGTTGTGTAAATGTTTATTTCTTGCGGCAATCGATGACTGATGTTTGGTCATTGGGGCTTTTAATGTGCTTTGCTGTTTCCCGCAGCAGTAAAGGTCAGGAATTGCTCACCGATGCCTCCAACTTCAGGGAACCTGCTTTTTCAGCGTTAATGACATTTATCCTGACAAATGGGAGGCGACCCGGGTGTCCATGAAACACCTGCAAAGAGCGTGAGAGCATTTGCTGCGCTTATTCACGGAACAATACGAAGTTGTTCTGCCACAATAAAGAATTTTTTTAAAGTCAGAATTGAGCTCTAGAGGTGCTTTTACTCAGTCGCGTTTTCGGTTCGTGCAGCACTGGAAACGTAGCCCTTCAACGTGGTTACTAATGTCTGTTAAGAGTGTGCTATTTGTGGCTGTGGAACTGTTTTCTGCCTGGAAAATCCCTAAAACTATCACCGTTGACCTTTGTTTTTAATTACTTTAAATATACGTGTTGTTGAAACGCTTACGTTGATTTGGGTTCTGGTTTGTACGTAGTTTTGTTCCAGTAATGCCCAGTCATAGATACTTTCATGTCGAGAGACTGTAATTTAGCTCGGGTTGTTTCCGATTCACTTTCTATCATTTTTCGCCCTGTTCATGCCACTAAAAATGTACAGCTGAAATAGGGAAATTGACACTATAATAATAATAATAATAATCCTTGCATTTGATAAAGCGCTTTTCACGTCGGGAGGACGTCCCAAAGCGCTTCACAGAACACACTGTAAAGTGAACTGACTGTGTATTTGTGGGCGAACGCGGCAGCCAATGGCGCACAGCAATGTCCCACAAACAGTCGTGGATTGAAAATGATCCAATTTATTATTGTTTTGGGTTTTGGAGGGATTATTATTAGGCTCTGTGTGGAGTAAGGAAACTTGCCCGAGGTTTCGCCCTCTGCCGGGAATTGAACGCAGGTCCCTCGCTTGCACTGTCAAATTGCAGCAATCTAACCCAATGTGCAGCATTTCTACTTCAACGCAACACTGTATTGAAATATAGTAACAAAGTGCAATGTGAAGCACGGTTTCCTAGATTGATTGAGTGCTTTGTAAATATTTTCAATCAATATTATTGATGCAGCGTAACCTACACAGCAGAAATAATGCAGCAACGACTGGCACCCAAACCTATTGGCAGAATATGGAAACTACTCACTCGTGTTTACTATTTCGGTGCTACACTTTCAGAAGTTAGAAATGACAATCATCCTGAAATATCTTTATTTGGGAAACGTCTTGCAATCTTTTCCCATCGTGCGCTGTTTTATTTGGGAAACATTTTATCGTTCGCCATTTGATTTGTTCAGAGTTTCCCTGTAACATTGTAACCCCCACCACCCCATGTTTGTTTCCTCTTAATAATGTTACTTCCCGAGTATTTATCAATATTCCCCCTTTTTCTTTTTAAAAAAAAACAACTCGATTGATTCTGCATCTAAGGCTTTCTGGACGCAGTCTGGAGCTACTAAGAATCATTGACTGTCTTCGCAATACCCCGATCACCTGCCTATTCAGCTCTAGTTTATACTATGGTATTCTAATTGCCTCTTGATTTACTTTCAATTGGGAGATTAAGTTTCTGTGGTTAGTATTTGTTTAATGCACTACATATCGAAAGACCCGTTGATGCCTAATCTCAAAAAAGTAATCCTGAGGATATTTCGTGCTCCCTGCGCAGTTTCCCTCGGCACATCCTCCTGACGTGAAAGGCGCTATAAGCCATGCAATTTGTGGTTCCTTGTTGTCTATCGTATTTTGTTTGGCTTGTCTTGTTCTGAAAAATGCAGCAGTAACGGTGAATCGAACCTGTACGGCCGAACCCGGAGGTGGAGGCAAGGCATGAAATCTGTGAAAAAATTACAGGAAAATGGTACGGTTAGACAGATCATACATAGCGTCTCCCGGTCCAATGTCAGTCCTTCCAGATTCCTTGCTCTGGAGATCGTACAAGATGTACTTTTAAAAAGGAAAACTCGGTAAAGAGTTTGAAAATGACCCATTTTAGTCAATTAGATTTATTCCTTTCTTCTTAATACCACCTGATTCATGTCTTCATGTCTGTAAGGGTACTTCTTCCAGATACGTTACTGAGTGACTTGCGCGGTAAAACCAGGTCTGTTTATGTTTACACCACGTGTGCGCTCGCCGCTGGTGGTTTGACTTGTGGCCGGTGATTTCAGAGCCTGGCACTTCTAACGTTCACGCAACACCAGGTGCAGTACGTAGATAGTCAGCCCACATTTGGTTTCTGACCTGCGGAGGCTGCAGTACACTGCACTCAAGATATCCCGAGCCATAACAACACACACACAAAATCCCACCGTAATTCTGAAACGTACTTTCTTTTCTCAACCTATACCCTTGTGTATTCACGCTCACCCTCACCCTCGTATTCAAGTCCCTGCGCTCCTCTGCACCCCCCCCCCCCGACCGACCCGACCTCTCCGACCTCCTCTCTCCTCAAAACAGCACCCGTTGCCTTCGTTCCTCCGGGTCTGGCCTCCTCCTTGTCCCCCGAGTCCTCCGCTCCACCCTCGGCGGCCGTGCCGTCAACAACAACAACAACAAGATTCCATTTATAGAGCGCCTTTCACGTCGGGAGGACGTCCCAAGGCGCTGGACATTTGGGTCAGGACCCGAGCAGGGGGGAAATGGTCAGGGTGAGGGGAGGGAAGGGAGGGAGCGAGGAGGGGGTAGAGAGTTGTGAGGGGAGCTGAAGGCTGAAGGTTAAAGAGAAAGGTCTTGAGACCGGCCTTGAAGGAGGAAAGGGAGGAGGCGGCGAAGGCACTGGGGGATGGAGTTCCAGAGCCAACTAGTTCAGCCACTATGCCCCGAGGCTCTGGAACTGCCTTCCTCACTCCCTTCGTCTCACTCCCTCCCTTCCCACTTTCAGGTCTCTGCTGAAGACCTTTCTCTTCGACCTCACCTTTGGTCACCTTCCCACCCCTCCCCCCGGCTCGGCCTCGGGATCCATTACTCTAAAGCGCTCTGAGACGCCGTCCGGCGTGAAGGGCGCTATATAAATCCAAGTTGTTGTTGTTGTCGTCCTCCTTTCTTTCATTCTTCTCCGCCTTCTTTCTGAGTCATTGCTGCAAAACCTCCTCTTTGCTCCGACCTTCCTGTCTTTTAATCTGAAGCTCACTCTGTTTCTGTTTCCCGAGGTTCTGATTGCTTCCCTC